GCCTGGCGGGGCTGTCCGCGCTCACCCGCGGCAGAAGCTAACTCTTCCAGGTGCTTGCTCTCTCGTTAGGCACATGCACGGGTAGCCATCGAGGCAGTTCCGTCCCGTTTACCAAAGCATCTTCCCTTTGGTTACACCAGCTCTGGCTTAGGGAGGTGACTCTGTCATGTCGAACTCGCGGCCCAGGCCCCGCCGCGGCGCCGGGAGTGTCGCCCGGGCAGCCGGGCGGGACGAGCTGGTGTCGCGGTCCTTGCAGAGCGCCGAGCACTGCATGCGCGCCCAGGACTTCGGCACCGCTTACGCCCACTACCTCCTCGTGCTCAGCCTGGCGCCGGAGCTGAAAGACGACGTGAAGGTGAGGACAGCCCTTCTTTCTCCCACTTGCTGGCAGGTCCTCTGTTCTCCGAAGAGTAAATACGTACAGACATAAATAAATTGGGAGAAGGGGGCTAAGTTGGTTGCTGTTACTATTTACTGTTCAGCCTGGACTTCTTTTGTTCACACCCACAGCTAGCCCATCAGAAAATCCTGTCCGCTCCACCTTCAAAATAGATCCAGAATCTTACCACTTGTCACCACCTGCTCCTTTGCTACCCTGGTGGAAGCCTCAGTCATCTGCAGACTTGGAATAGGCTTGCAACTAGGCTCTGTCCTGCGGTTTACCCCTATGAAGCCAGCGACAGGCGTGAGCTTTTCAAAACAGAAGTCATGACATCACGTTTCTAATTCAAAATTTCCTTCTCGCTCAGATTCCCAAGGCTCTATTGCAAATGAGGCCTCTGGTGATCACCTCCCATTTCCTATGTTGAATTCTAGCATGTCCCTGCCTCCGTGCCTACTGTATACAGAAGGAATGTTATGGGTTTCTGTGGTTGGATACATTTTGGAATTAGCCTAAAGTATTCATTTGATGATGCATTCTTTTAGATTCGGTTATCAGATTATTTGTGGCAGTTGTTCTATTGAAATGCGGTACATTTTTCCAAGTTTTTTTAGAATTTATATTTGCAGAAGGGATTTAATTTTGCTTCAGTTTTCAGCCTCAAACTACTTTCCTTTATTTCACTCAGGGTTTCTCAACTTCAGTACCACCAACTAAAGTGGGTGGGATAATTCTTTGTTGTGGAGGCCTGTCCAGTGTACTGCAGCATGTTTCACAACAACCCTGACCTCCATCCAATAGATAATCAGTTTGTAGTTCACATAAATTTAGTGTGAATTTTAGGACCAGCTGGCTTGAAGGAGGGGAAGATGATATGTTTAGATACAGTTTGCTTTTCTAGGTAGCAGTAGAATAATGGGTCATTTCGAGTGCATTTCATCTATTCTTTGTTCCTTAGTTTCCTCTTGTAAAACTGGGACAATATCTTTTTACTAGATATTTAATGTGTATGAAAAGTACATCTAAAATTCATATTTCAATGCCTGGCATTCAGTAACTAGCTCTGTTTTCTGCAGAACAAAATTGTATTTCTTTGGGCTTTTGCAAAATACCAGTCTCTTTAGTCTTTTTTCTTGTTACTCCCCATACCCACACTTCAGCCACACCAACCTTAACCTATTGATTCCCTAATCCATTTCATATAATCTGTGCTTTCTTTCCCGTCACACCCTAGACTCTTCTTCCTTATATTCTTGGCTCTCTAGTAAACTTCATCAGAATTCAGTTTCAGGTTTTAACTTTTCTGTATAAAATATGTGAAGATGATGTAAAATGTGTTCATGTTAAAGCTGGCATGACTAAAGCCTTCTCTCTTTCCACTGTGTTGCAGTGTGGAGACTGGAGGGAAATGTAATCGGAGGGAGGGTGACAGTCCAGCAAGTGGTTAAAGGGCCAGATTATGTTGTAACACTGGGATTGGAGAGGAGGTGACAGGTGTAAAGACATTGAGAGAGAACAGGCTGGGTTTGAAACTAATTGTATTGGAGTTAAGGTAGCATTATAAGGTGACTAAATGGTTTTTGGTCAGGTGGTACCTTAACCTTATATCCTGTGTGAGAGGAATATGATGGATTCGTGTAGAACATTTTGAATTTTTTTCAAAATTGTATGTTAAAATGCTCTCTACAAGGCCTCTCTGTGAGGATTGGAACAGGATTTATGTTGTTCATGCTATTCTTTGCACACTGATTGTCCAGGAAATATTTGAGTTGAGCTGAATTTGCGGTGACGAAAGGTGCAATCCCTGGTTGAGATGACTGGTAGGAAGTTATGAGTCTGAGTTTCAGAAGAGCGTCAGGATTGGAGATGGCAGATGTAGCATCTGTCAACACACAGGTGATAGTTAATGCACTGGGAATGGATGAGAAAAGAGAAGAAGGCCAAAGACAAACTCCCAAAACACAGAAGCCCACAAAAAAGAGGTAGGTGGAGAATGTGAAATTGCAGCTAAGAGTGGAGAGAATTTAGAGGTCAAACTAATTTATTACCATGAAAGTGGTAAAATTTATTCATTTATGTATTTGTTTAGCAAGCAGTGCCTTTTAAAGATAAATAAAATTTAAGGTGATAGTTCAATTATAGTTAAGTTTTACTCTCTGGGGAATCTTCAATATGTGTTGTATTGTCGTTCCTCATTTTTGTTATTGACTAATTTGCTATTTTCTCTTCTGTAAAGGAAACTTTCCAGTATACACTCTTCAGATGGGCTGAAGAGCTTGATGCCCTCAGTAGAACACAAGACTTACTTGGTTGCTATGAGCAAGCCCTGGAACTGTTTCCTGATGATGAAGTGATTTGCAATAGTATGGGGGAGCATCTCTTCAGGTGTGTAGTGATTTCAGATTACTTGTTAAGAATTATTCTGTATCACCTGGATCAGGGATAAATTGTAAAGTAATTTGAACAGGGAAAGTTTAATATAAAGAATTATTAACTGTAACAGGATAGAGTAAAGAGGGATTAGCTAATAAGCTATAAAGAGAACTCAGAAGAATATAGGAATAGCAGACATAATATGTAATAACAGGGCAGTTTTAATACAATTATCACATAATGTATAATAGCCACTGTCCCTAAGGCTGAGGTGAGTATCAGGGAAGTGTCCCCCCACTAGGCTGAGATCCAGACCTTGCGAAGCGGATGTAACGTGGTTCCCAGATGGCAGAGAAGTCCTGTGGTGCTTTGCCAGGGAACTTATAAATCTGTTCTCTGGAACTTGCCAAAATTTGCCATTAGAATTTCTGTCTACTCTCCTTAGAAACTTTATAATTAGGACTGATAGAAATACCAGAAATTTTTGTTTTGGATTTGTTTTAATAAATCTGGTTTCACTTCTTGGCTCTGCTCATCTGGTCACATTAAGTTTTATTTTTCTATGAAAAATTCTATATAAGAAATACCTGTGTCAGACTTTATTAGTCAGTAATATAACTATAGTCTTAGTTGAAATGGCTGGTGGAGTGAAATGAGTACTCTTTTAAGAGACAAATATTTGATAGTTTCTAGTTGTAGAGTATGATAGTAACTAGGAAAATAAGACAGATTGTCAACTGTGGCTTGTTTGTTTACACTGACAGCTAACCTGATTCTGATACACAGGCTCCATCTCTACAAATTAGCAGCCAACTCTCCATTTAAATGAAATTTAGTTTAAAAAGATTTTTGAGTAACTCTTCAAATTAGTTAGAAATTTACATTTTAAGTTCAAAGTTTTCTGTAGTTCTTTAGTTTATGCAAGTAGAATTACTTTATAGGACTCAATTATATTTCCAGATTACACACATATAATGATCATAACATAATAGGACTTAAGTTTTAGAATAAACTCAATTTAACAGACAATTTGAGTGCTACACTTTTGGCAGATTTTAACTGTTGGTGAACTATTTTTGAAGTGAAAAAAAAATCTTGGTGTTAATTTGCTTCGGGAGAGATGTAAAACTATGCAACATTTCGAATTTAGACAATGGCATTTCAGAATTTGTGATAATGTGAATGTGGCTTTTGATGTATAGTTTATCTTTGTTCTTTAGGACAGGGGTTCTTAGCTTTTGTTTCATTCTATTTTTCTTATCAAAACAGTGTATAACTTACTCCCCACCAAAGGAATCACTTTTCCAGGAGAAAAAGATTTCCAAAGTAAATGATAGCTTCCTTTCCTGATATTTGTGGGATAAAATTGGTGTCTGGAGTGTCTCCTTGTGTTAGCCAGTCAGATTTAAGATACATTAAATTGCTAGTCAGGGAAATAATGTTTTTTTCTAGTTAAAAGAAAAAAGGCATTTTTATAGTTTGTTGGTGTTATTGGGACACATGAGTGTTTCTGTAAAAGATGTACTTTGAGTGGATCATCTATTTTTTAGATTAGCATTGCAGTTTAAGAAAACTGAATTATACATTAAGGGTCAAGCCCAAAGGAAATGTAAACTCAGGAAATGATTAGATGCAGGCTTGGCATTGATTTAACAGATCGTTCAAATTTTGAAATTTTAAAATATCCATTGCTAAGTTGGTCTCTTGACAAATAATGGTTACTTATGATGTATTTTGCATTGTACTGTATGCTTTGGCGGTTGCAGAATAAGAATAAGACAGCTCTGTCTTCACGATACTTAAAGATAACATGAGTGACTTCATTTAACATAGGGTGATTGCCTTTTGTTAGAGTGCAGTTTCCTGTTTGGAGTTCCCTTTTCTTGCTTAAATCATACAATGAATAGTCTGATTCTGGTTTTGTTTTTTTTTAATATATTTTTATTAATTTCAGAGAGGAAGGAAGGGGGAGAGAGAGAGAGAGAAACATCAATGATGAGAGAGAATCATTGATTGGCTGCCTCCTACATGCTCCCCACTGGGGATCGAGCCTGCAACCTGGGCATGTGCCCTTGACCGGAATCGAACCTGGGACCTTTTAGTCTGCAGGTCGACGCTCTATCCACTGAGCCAAACGGGCTAGGGCTGATTCCGTTTCTTTCAAGTTGATAGAATGCTTCAAGGTGCTTGTGAAGAAATCTGAGTGTAAAAGGGTTCTACTAGTTCAGTTCTCTTCAATATGTGGACCACACACTGGTACTGATCCACAAATTACCAATCAATGACAGATAAATACAAAAATTGAGAGTAAGCCTTTAGGAATTTAAATCCAAGTATTTAATCAGGGAACTTGCTTGTTGAAAAGAGTTTGGACTAGTTTGAGTGCTGCTGAAATACTAGTCCTGTGCAGTACAACTATCCTATATAATGAAAGCCTAATATGCTAAGTGTCCGGTCATCCAGTCAGCCATTCAGTCAAAGAGTAATATGCTAATGATATACTAAGGCCACTCAGCTGCTCACTATGACGTGTACTAACAACCAGGGGGCAGACAGTCAACCGGTCAACCAGTCGCTATGACGTGCACTGACCACCAGGGGGAAGACGTTCTGACCGGTAGGTGAGCTTGCTGCTGGGGTCCGGCTGGACTGAGTGAGACGGGCCAGACACGCCCCGGAGCCCTCCCGCGTCCCTCCCTGGTCCCGATCGTGCACTGGTGGGATCCCTCCGCCTGGCCTGCGCCCTCTCGCAATCTGGGACCCCTTGGGAGATGTCGGAGAGCCGGTTTCGGCCCGATCCCAAAGGCCAGGCCAAGGGACTCCACTGGTGCACAAATTTGTGCACCAGGCCTCTAGTTGGTTTATAAAGGATTAGGTACTTCAAAAGGGGTGGAACTGTCTATCTTCATTAGATAGATAGTTTAAGAAACTGTAATAGTTCTGGATGGTTTGATAGTTTTTTCCCTTTGTCTTCTATTTTTTATTTTATCACATTGAATTCAGTTGTAATTTTTTGGGTGACTCGCCTTTGATTTTTTCCAAAGCATTTAGCTTAGTGTTCTTAGAAACAGTGGCTCTTTTTATTGCAGTCATACTTATTTCTGTAATCTTTAAGTAAAATATGTAATGATGGTAACAAGTACAACCGGTATAAACTGGTCTGGCAGCAAATTCAACTGACTCTTGATGACCATTCAACTCAGTTGCTGTGAGAAATGGTATGTAGGCAGCCCAGAGAGGAGCCTTATTAGCCACAGGTTTTAGTACCTTTTTACAGAGAGAATGGCTTTTAGAAAGCACTGGTGTTCTATTAGGTTGGTTAAATGAAGGATGACTTTGAGAGCTTCTACTATACTATGGTACAATAGTAATTTATAGTAAAGCACTTGTTAGGGTCCTGGAATGCATAAATATAATAGGGGTTCAGAAAAGGATTGATGAAGGATTGCAATTCTCACTGAAGACTTCCCAAAGGAGATGACACTTGGGTTGAGTAGGATTTGATGTGCTGGTGAGGGATTCTCAGGCCAGATGAGTGACATGGATGAAGGCACTGTAATTGATAACCTATAGTTACATTTTTTGTCTGTCATTTTTTACTCTAGAATGGGCTTCAGAGATGAAGCAGCTGGATATTTTCATAAAGCAGTGAAGCTAAACCCTGATTTCAGTGATGCAAAGGAGAACTTTTATCGTGTTGCAAATTGGTTGGTGGAACGTTGGCACTTTATCATGCTTAATGACACCAAAAGGAATACGATTTATAACGCAGCAATCCAAAAGGCAGTTTGTTTGGGATCCAAAAGTGTTTTGGATATTGGAGCAGGAACTGGAATACTAAGGTTTGTTGTACTTGTGTTTTAATTACATATGCATGTATACTAATGTAAATTAAAGATTTTACCAAATATGAAATATTTACCTGTGGAATTTAAAAATAGAGTTTAATTTATTTCTCATAATCTTGCTATGACTATCCATACAACTATTATATTTTTCACTGTAACTTTTGCTATATCAAGAACTGGACTTAACTACTAAGAAAAATTTGGGGTTATTATTGGAATTTTGAATAATGAATTTCAGTAGTATTTTTATATTAATACTCTGGTTGAATCTAGTTAAGTCCATTAGCATTCTTCATGCCTGTTGTGTCTTCTTAATCTGCTGGACATCATGATTTATTGTATGATTTGTTTCTGGACAAGAATATTCATTTTTTAATGTGGAATGAATAATGGTTGTGTTAAAGAATAAAAAGAAAGCCCATGTTTAAGTATCACAATTCCACTAATACTTGGAAAGAGACAGTGGATTATTTTTGTTTGATGGAGCTCTTTTCCCCTTGTAGTATGTTTGCTAAAAGAGCTGGAGCGCACTCGGTGTATGCCTGTGAGTTATCCCAGACCATGTATGAACTTGCCTGTGATGTAGTGGCAGCGAACAAGATGGAAGCAGGAATCAAACTCTTACATATGAAGTCACTTGACATAGAAGTTCCAAAACACATTCCCGAAAGGTATTATAATGTGAACTAATTTCAGTATTTATAATCCATTATTTTTTAAAAAGTAAGATATTTGCATTTCTGGTTTCTAGTCCAAACAAAAATGCTAAAACCCTTACACTATAAAGTTATGGATATAGGATAGTTTAGCATAAGATGGGTTTTCATAGTAAGGTCATATTCTTTTGCTGTTCTTATTGTTAATCCTCACCTGAGGATATTTTTTCCATTGCTTTTCAGAGAGTGGAACGGAAGGAGGGCGGGGGAGAGAGAGAGAGAAACATCGATGTGAGAGAGACATATCAATTGGTTGCCTCCTGCACATCTTGACCTGGGGTGGGGAGCCAATCCGCAACCCAGATACATGCCCTTAACTGGGAATCGAACCTGTGACCCTTTATTGTGCCATCTAATGCTCTACCCACTGAGAAACACAGGGCAGGGCCATAAGGTCATATATATATAGTATTGATTTCAGAGAGGAAGGGAGAGGGAGGATAGATAGAAACATCAATGAGAAGAGAATAATTGATTGGCTGCCTCCTGCACAGGGAGATCGAGCCTGCAACCCGGGCATGTGTCCTTGACCGGACTCGAACCTGGGACCCTTCAGTCCTCAGACTGATGCTCCATCCACTGAGCCAAACCAGCTAGGGCAGGTCATATTCTTGCTAATAAATATTTAAAGATCTTGAGAAAAATTTGTGGTAAGGGACTTAAAAAATGAACTTGACCTTTAGCAAGTTACTGTACCTTTGTTAATTTTAGTGTTCTAGTTGTAAAAATGGATTAATACCTCCTATGTAGTCAATACTTTAAAAATTCTACTCTGAAATAATAGATGAGTTGATCAACCTTGGTGGACTTACTACATTTTGTGCAAGCGGTGGCTCAGGCGCAGGCTGCGAGTGCGAGCAGGGCTGGCGCTGGCAGCAGGTATGAGCGCCGTGCAGGACCATGGCACGTGGGAGCAAAGAATTTTCAGTAACCACCAGAGACTCACCCCGATAACAGCGACCAGTGCCCCGCCTTGGTCTGGCGCCCCCGCTCACCTGCTCCACTATCCAGCCATGGTCAATGCCTGCTATGTTCTGCACATGCCCCCTGGTGGTCCGTGCATGTCATAGCTACCGATTGTTCCACTGTTCTGTCTGTTTGCATGTTAGCCTTTTATTATATAGGATTCTTATCATTTGGACTATGATTTTAAAACATCTTCTTTCATATATGTATAATAATGTTTATGAGACTGACACGCTACCTACTGCGCTAACGAGGCACCTAATAATGTTTATATTTACATAGTACTTACAAAGAAGTACTATTAGATTGTTGAAGCAGATAATTATACCCATTTTATAGAAAGTGTCCTGAATTGTTTTAGTCTGCTCAGGCCACTGTAACAAAATACTGCAGACTATATGGCTTAAACAACAAACATTTATTTTCTCATATTTCTGGAGGCCAGAAGTCCATGATCAAAGGGTGCTAGTGAGAGTTCTTTTTCTAGCTTGCAGATGGCTGATGGCTGCTTTCCTGCTGTGTTCCTAAATGGCCTTTTTCTGTGCATGTGAGGAGAGGGAAAGATCATTGGTGTCTCTTTCACTTTTGTAAGGATACCAGTTCTATCCACCTTTATGATCTCATTTAACCTTAATTCCCTCCTAAAGACTTTCTTTCCAAATACAGTCACATTGTGGGTTAGGACTTACATGAATTTTAGTGGTACACAATTCAGTCCATAGCATGAATCAGAGTTATTTACATTTTACTTCCCTGGCTGGTGTGGCTTAGTTGGTTGTAGCATCGTTCTGTACACCAAAAGGTGGTGGGTTCGATTCCGTCAGGGCACATACCCAGCTTTAGGATTGCATCCCCTGTTGCGGCATGTGTTGGAGGCAACCAGTCGATGTTTCTCTCTCTCTCCTTTCCTCTCTCTAAATAATAATAATAATAATAATAATAATAATAAATTTTTCTCACAGATAGTGTTGTAGAAGGATCCAATACAGATTCTATTATTAATTTATTTTGACCTTGAACAAATCTAGAGATTTATGATGTTGGACTAAATGTTTGCAATACCTTCTACTTTGTAAATGTATGTAATTATAAGTACTGAAAATTTGTGTATATATAAAATATTGTGTCTAGGCATTGTGGGGGATACTAAATTTGTTCTTTTTCTTCAAGGCACCTATAATCTAGATAGGAAGATAAGGAATAGTCAGGAAACTTTTTTCTTTTCTTTTTTTTTTTTTTACCTTCTAATTACACTGAATGATATAATAAATTCTAAAGAAGTTTAGAGAAGGGAGAAAAAAATCATTTTGGCGTGTCTTTGGATGAAAATTTCTAGAAAGAAAAAAATGAATGAAGATCAGAGCTCTGTGGATTAGACTGTTGTGAAAACTCACAGGTAGTGGGTAAAAAGCAAGAGAAGTAACAGGAGAGGCACAATCAACATGTAAGCGATAAACATGGATAATGAAGGTAGAGAAGGATTTTGAGAGGCAGGGCTTCTCACCTGCATTGAATATTATTTGTAGATCAAGGAAAATGAAAACTGAGAAAGATTATTTATTTGGATAAGTAGGCGAGTCCTTGATGATGCAGAGTATTTTTATATAGTGTTGTGCATAGAAGTCCAATTAGTCAGCGTTAAGGAGAGGGACTGGTAACGTTAATGGGTATGAGCCGCTCTTAAGGATTTCCAGTGGTTCTCAACCTTCTGGCCCTTTAAATACAGTTCCTTGTGTTGTGACCCAACCATAAAATTATTTTCGTTGCTACTTCATAACTGTAATGTTGCTACTGTTATGAATCGTAATGTAAATATCTGATATGCAGGATGGTATTAGGCGACCCCTGTGAAAGGGTCGTTCGACCACCAAAGGGGTCGCGACCCACAGGTTGAGAACCGCTGATTTAGGCAATGAAAATAGTCTGAGGGGGCAGCAGAGTCAACTGCAGGTTGTGCCACCCTCCCCCACCCCCAAGAAGTTAGTGGAATACAGAGGAGCCTGAGGAACATTAGAGTCAAGTTTTTCAAGTTTCAAGAGTAAATATTAAAAATGAAAAGTGTTAGGAAATTTTACTTGTGGACTGTTTCTATAATATACTCTTCCTTTTTTCTCTCAGCTTTGACATCTTTATATAAAAGCATGATATTTTACTTACATATATTTTTAAAAAATCATTCTGTAGAGTGTCCCTAGTTGTAACAGAAACTGTCGATGCAGGTTTATTTGGAGAAGGAATTGTGGAGAGTTTGATTCATGCATGGGAGCATTTACTTTTGCAGCCAAAGGTAAGCAGCATGAAATTAGGTAAATTTGATATAGAATTCATTATTTTAACAGATATTTATTGAGCCCCTATCACAAAGAAATCTATAAAAAATACACCCCACAAACACTTACTAACATAATGCAGTGTATACTTGTGTGCCCAAATGGGGTATACAGGCAAAAAGGAATTCATAGGAATTGAGATTGTATTGTGAAGGGACTGACTGACTATTGAATTCTTGAGTGAAATTGAGAAAGGAAGAACTTGCAGTCTCACAGCCCTCACTGCTTGAAATTAAGGCAAATTATTGAGAGTTTAGAAATAACTGCCTTGGTATAGTTTGACCCACGCGACTAATTAAGTTTTGTAATTACCGAATTATATTTTGCATTAAAATCCTTTACAGTGGCCTACAAATTGTAGATTTGGTTTATATAATACATATTATGAGTGAAATGATTTTAACATGTAATAAGAATTCACTACTTACAGAAAGTGGTTTGGATTTAAAATAACTAATTAAAGGTTTAAAAGAAGAGCAGTTTGTTTTTCAAGTAGGTAATGGTGATTTTGGCTTCTCAAGTCAATATCCAGTAGTTTTTTGCCGTATGCATACTCATAACCTTATAACCCCCCCTCCCTCCTTCCCTTCCTGTTTGTATTGTTAAAAAAAATGTATATATAATATATATAAGTACATACGTAGAGCAATGAAAATAAAATAAACTTTGAAGAAAAAAAACATAACCTGCTTATTCTTACCTATTGTTGTTTACTTTTCTATTAATTTTTAGATGTTGTCATTATATATTTTTGCATAAATGTAACTGAATCTGATGTTTATTGTTATATTTTTAGACCAAAGGTGAAAATGGTAACTGTGGAAAGTATGGGAAAGTTATACCAGCAAGTGCTGTTATATTTGGCATGGCAGTAGAATGTGCAGAGATAAGAAGACATCATAGGTAAGTGATTATTGAAATAGCAATTACTTAAAAAATTATAATTTAAAGGATTGACTATACTTTAAAGGTTAATGAATATTTATTTGAAAGAGAATTTGTAGTTTTCTGACCTTTAAATTCATGATGTTTATTCAGATCTTAATTTTCTTTTTGAATTTTTTTGAAACTTAGGATTCTAGGATTAAAACCAGCTTCAATTTCCTAGTGGAAAATTAATTTTGATACAACTTATATCCTTTTTCTATGTGATAGATTCACATAGGAAAATATTAAGTTCACTGATTTTAGATGAAAGTAAAATAAAAATTTCCAACATGAAAATAATTTACTTTATTTCTCTCATTCGTTCTTAATAACTTTATTAATAGTAAATGTTTTGTGATTGAGGTGAATGAAATTTAAGGATCTTTCTACCCATGAGATGCTAAGATTTACTTATCAACTATGATATAAAGGTTTTTTTAGTTAAAGAAGTTTCTTGTTTACATGTCCTTGAGCATCGTGAATGTTTTATTTTGCTAAAATGTTGATCTGTATTTTCTGAGGACTTTTTAAGGAGGCCCCCCTTCCAATTACTTATTAGTAGTAAATGTAACATACAAATATTTTAGGAAATACTGATGGGTAAAAGAATAATCATCCTGCCCTTGGCCCATGTGACTCAGTTGGTTGGGTGTCATCCTGTGCACCTAAAGGTTGCCAGTTCAATTTCTGGTCAGGGCACATGCCTGGGTTGGGGCTCAATCCCTGGAGAGGGTGTGCAGGAAGCAGCCAATTGATGTTTCTCACAGTGATGTTTCTCTCTCTTCCTTCCTCTCCATTCCCCTTGCTCTAAAAATCAGTTGGAAAAAAATCCTAAAGAAAAAAATCATCCAGATAACTGCTGTCCATCTTTATTATATATTCTTCCTTATACTTTTCTATGCATATTACAGGTGATATGTAAAAAATGTGTAGTGATTGGTAGGGCACAGTGCACTGACCACATAGATAGTGGCCTTAATCAGAACATTGGCTGAATTAGAGTATACTGGTTGAATGTTAGCTCTGTGTAAGTAAATGTGTGTGTGTGTGTGTGTGTGTGTGTGTAAATTATATTTTGTTTTCAAAGTATCAGTAAATATATTTGCTTTTTCTTTGTGTATTGTCCATTTGGTTATGCTCTTTTGTGAAGTGTCTAAGTCTTTTGTCAATTTCAGTTTTTCTTTTATTAATTTGTAGGAATTTAAAAATATATTTTGGATAGGAGCCCTTCGTTGAATAGATGTATTACAAATTTTTCCTACTTAATGGCTTGACTATTTCCTATCTTACTGGGTACCTTTTTTTTTTTAATCGTCACCCTAGGATATTTTTTTCATTGATATTTTAGAGGGAATGGATGGGGAGGGGAGGGGAGAGAGAGAGAAACATTGATGTGAGAGAGACACATCTATTGGTTGCCTCCTGCATGTGTCCCCTGACAGTGGTCAGGGATCGAATCTGCAACAAGGTATGTGCTCTTGACCTGGAATTGAACCCATGACGCTTCAGTCCAGAGGCCAACACTCTAACCACTGAGAAGCTAGGGTTGGGTATCATTTGATGGGCAGAAGTTCTTAATTGTAATGTAGACCTATTACCTGTTTTCCTTTATAGTTAGTGATTATGTATATAATTATGTTTAGGAAAACTTTGTCTCTGAAGTTTTATTTTATTTTTATTTTTGATGGATCCAATACTAGATGATGCTACTTGATTCTAAAAAAGAACCTCATCTTTTTTTCCCCTCTCTTATCTCCTCTTTCACCAGGGTGGGCATTAAGGACATTGCTGGGATCTGTTTGCCAACAAATGTGAAATTTCAGAGTCCAACTTACTCTTCTGTAGATACCGAAGAAACAGTTGAACCTTATACAACTGAAAAGATGAGTCGAATTCCTGGTGGATATTTGGCTTTGACAGAGTGCTTTGAAATTATGACAGTAGATTTCAACAATATTCAGGTAAAAAAAAAAAAAAGTTCAATTACTGTTTTTGAGCATTAAACTTTATCTGTTGTTTAAAACAATTAATACATAGGACAGTCTTATTTTAGTTTGCATGGGATTCCATTTAAAGAAAATGATTAAACGGTAACCAGAATTCCCTCCTGAAATTATTCACTTTAAAAAAAAGAGAAAAGAAATCCCTAACATTGTTGGGAATGTCTAATGTGCCAGGTGTTTTCACATATGTTCTTAGGTCGCTCAGGCAAGAATCTTGTAATATGGTTGTACTTACCTGTGTGCTATACAGATGAAAGAACTGTTGCTTACATTAACATTCCCCAAATTACGCAGCATGTGAATGTAGAGGCAGGAGTTCTATCCTAGATGTTTCTGATTTTTCTTAGTGTTTTGCTGCCATTTCAAATGAACAGTTGACTCCTCCAAATGAATAGTAATCCACATCTCTGGATTGTATGATTTTTAGGGTGACTAGCCATCTCGGTTTGCCCAGGACTAAGAGGTCCCTGAGATGTGGGACTTTTACTTTTAAAACTGGGATAGTCTTGTGTAAACCAGGACAAGTTGATCACTCCAGTGTCTCTATGTGTGTGTTGCTGAGTGGTGGAAGGAAGTGAATATACAAAGAAAGTGTCCAAAGGAGTCGAGAAAAGTAACAAAATCCTTCTCTGAAGCTCTTTAATTAAGGTTAAATGTTCAAGTATATACATTTCTTTAGATGAAACCTGTCTGGGGACAGAAGACTTTGTGAGGGTCATTTTAGCCTAAGATTTTTATAATTTAATAAAAGCTTTCTCCTATTGTTACCAGCTTTTTCTTGAGGTGATCTAGAGCTAAATGAACATTTTGGCATTGCTTACTAAGGCTGAGCTTCAAGAACATTTTTTTCCTGATATCACATAGAGAACAAGGTGATTACAGCTGCTAAGTACCCTGAAGCTATCTTTTCTTAGTTCAAGCTTTTCTTATTTTAATTTTTCTTTGACGCAATAAAAAATACATCTTATTAAGTCTTTAATTTTGAAAGTAATATCTACCTGTTTAATACTTTCAAATAATACAAAAGAATAGAAAGGAAAAAGAAAAAGTGTCTTTAAAAAAAATAAATCTTAAATCCTTCTTTCCCCAGGTTACTGGTTTCAAATGCATCTTTTCAGACTTGCTTTTCTGTTCTACACACACACACACACACACACACACACACACACACACTCTCTCTCTCACTCACACACTTTTTAAAAAACAATCTCTATTGCTTGCCACTCACCCTGCCTTCATTCAGCAATAAGGGAGGGGCAAAAGGAGGTTTGTAGTTCTTCATATGGAAAGTAATAATAATAAGTAATAATATCAGAATGAATTCAGTGTTTCACGTACTCACACCTGTAAACCTACTTTGCCCCACCCTGTTTAGCATGGACTTCTTTCTATGTCAGTAATATGTATCTTGCTTCCCTGTTTTTAATAGCTGCATGTATTCCACTGTGATACATCAGAGCTTCCCATCAGTGTGCCCTAAGTGGTTTCAGGAGTGCCAAGATATCAATTCCCCAGGGCCTATGGCTGGACTGAGTACTTGCAGAAATGGAAAGTGATACGATATTGGGATATGCAAATATTAAGTGTATAAAATCCTTTTATATTTTTGTAGGAATTAAAAAGTCTTGCAACTAGAAAACCTGATAAAATTGGTGTTCCTGTTATTAAAGAAGGCATACTAGATGCCATTGTGGTTTGGTTTGTACTCCAGCTCGATGATGAACATAGTTTGTGCACAAGTCCTAGTGAGGAATCATGTTGGGAACAAGCTGTCTACCCCGTACATGACCTTGCAGGTATTACCTTGTCTAATTTTTTTTTTCTGTTCATTTTCTTACACTTGTTGTTTTAATCCTCCAAGCATTTGAGGCATTGTCAAAAAAATCACTTTGAAGTTTCTAGTCAAGGGAGACTGATGACAGCTCTGAGAATTTTCTTTTTCTATTTTAAAAGTAGCTTTAAATAATATATATGTAGGTTGATAAGAGAAACTAAAACACAACTCTCCTGCATACTATTAAAAAATATCTGTCATTGCCCTACCTGGTTTAGCTCAATGGATAGAGCATCAGTCTGCGGACTGAAGGATCCCGGGTTTGATTCCGATCACGGGTACATGCCCGGGTTGCTCGATCCCCAGTAGGGGGTGTGCAGGAGGTAGCCTGTCAATGATTCTTTCTCATGTTTGATATTTCTCTCTCTCCTTCACTCTTCCTCTCTGAAATCAATAAAATATGTATTTTTAAAAAAATCTATCATTAAATCATTTCTCCAGCAGTAGATAAGAGCAATGCTAGCCCATTTTTAATAAAACAGAAAAGTACTACTTTTTAAAAAAATATATTTTTATTGATTTTTTACAGAGAGGAAGGGAGAGGGATAGAGTCAGAAACATCTATGAGAGAGAAACATCGATCAGCTGCCTTCTGCATGCCCCCTACTGGGGATGTGCCCGCAACCAAGGTACATGCCCTTGACCGGAATCGAACCTGGGACCCTTCGGTCCGTAGGCCGTAGGCTGATGCTCTATCCACGGAGCCAAACTGGTCAGGGCAAAAAGTATTACTTTTAATGCAGGAGTTCTTACCGCTTACAGAACCTGATGGCATCTGTGGAGCCCCATGTCCTAGAAAGGCACACACTCATATAAGTACACAAGTTTGTAGTTTTAGAGAGTTCATGAATCCATGGACTTCTCTAAGGAAACTCTATATTAAAGATATTTTTTGTATAGAAAATTTTTTGGACCAGCAATTTGATGGGTTTCAGTATATTTCACAGCAATTGTGCATAGAAAAATTTTACTTTTTAAAGTGGCTACTTGTTTCTCCTAATCAAGGATCTGATTTGGCACAGTCATTAAGTCATGAAGTCAGTGCAGGGTTGTGGCTAGTATGGTGTTTTTAGACTCAGTTGTGTAGATTTGGATTCAGGTCTCAGCTCTGCTACTTTCTGACTCCCTGGCTGTCCTTGCTGGTTATTTTTCAGAGCTTCTATTATGAGATGTGTAAAAATGGGATGCTGCTGCCTCCCTTGCAGGATTGTAGTAGGGATTAATAGAGATGATGGATGTAAAATGCTTACCATAGTGATTGGCACTTATAAGTGATATTTTCTATTGGTGTTTATTTATTTTAAGCCTCTTACAGTAACTTAGACAGATGGTCTTTTTGTTTTTAATCTTTCTTGGGAAAGGACGTTTTAAATGTTTAAACACAAGAATAATAATTTGTATTTTCAACTGGCTTTAGTGCTGATAAGAGATTGCAATTGTACATTCACATTTTAAAGTTTTATTAAGTGTGAAAGCTAATGGAAAAGAGCATGACACAGTTTATTGTAGGACTTATTCTTTCCTTATATTTTCAAATATGCAAGATAGTTGAGAGATATTACTGATATGGTTCCAGTAAATACTGCTTTTGTTCTTTTTTTAAAAAAAATATTTTATTGATTTTTTACAGAGAGGAAGGGAGAGGGATAGAGAGTTAGAAACATCGATGAGAGAGAAACATCGATCAGCTGCCTCCTGCACACTCGCTACTGGGTATGTGCCCGCAACCAAGGTACATGCCCTTGACTGGAATCGAACCTGGGACCTTTGAGTTCGCAGGCTGACGCTCTATCCACTGAGCCAAACCGATTAGGGCTGCTTTTGTTCCTTTAGAAATTACTTTTAAAGAAAAGAATAATGGCCCTTTAAGCTAACATAAGGTTTCGTATTAATCCCTTAATTTCATCTCTCTTTGTTATTGTCAGCTTCATTGCCAAAGAAAATTGAGAGTTCCCTGTAGCCCTTCCCACCTCCAGTTTGGGGACACAAAGGATATCTAATGATTGTAGGGAAAGCACTAAATACTGATAGTTAAGGTCCAATAATGTAACTCTTGAATCTCTGTATTAGACTGAGTTAATTGAATCTTTAACTTCAGTATTTCCCTTTGTAAAGCTGAAGAGATTTTCCTATTTCTTTTTTTTTTGTATGTGTTGTAGGAAATTAATAGATTGATTCACTTAAATCTAATAAATTAATATATATAATCCTCCCTGTAGTGATTTAAAAAATGGGGAGGGTTGGTGGAATGGGAGGACAGACGTGTTTATGTGATCATAAGGCTAATAAACACTCATATTCATCAATTATAATTATTTTCTTTCTTTCTTATGAAGACTACTGGATAAAGCCTGGGGACCATGTAATGATGGAAGTGTCTTGTCAGGATTGCTACTTAAGAATCCAGAGTGTCAGTGTCTTCAGTTCGGAACATGAAATGGATGTTGGACAAAGTTCTACCAAGAATAAAGACTTGCTCTCTTTAGGAAATGAGGCTGACCTCTGTAGTGCCCTGGCTAACCTTCAGACCAGTAAACCAGATGCTATGGAGCAGACATGTGTACTGGAATCCACAGAAATTGCTTTGCTTAATAACATTCCATATCATGAAGCCTTTAAAATGGCAATGAGGAAAGTGCTGTCTTCACTGACCCCAGAGAAGCTGTGCCAGGCCGTGGATGCCCACTGCCAGGACAGTGAGATGAGCTGTGGAAGTGGACAGAATGATTCTGAACAGAGTGCCTCGGAGCCTTTCTATGTGCTAGATGTGTCTGAAGGCTTCTCTGTTCTGCCTATAATCGCTGGCACACTGGGGCAGGTTAAACCTTACAGTTCTGTGGAGAAAGACCAGCATCGCATCACTCTGGACCTCATATCTGAAGCCAATCACTTTCCTAAGGAAACACTTGAGTTTTGGTTGAGACATGTGGAAGATGAATCTGCTGTGTTGCAAAGGCCCAAATCAGACAAGTTGTGGAGTATAATTATATTGGATGTCATTGAGCCATCTGGGCTCATACAGCAGGAAATAATGGAAAAAGCTGCAATATCCAGGTAAAACACAAAATATAACTGTTGGGGTTTTTTTGAACTTAAAATTCATGTGAATTCTTTTAGTTCTTTAATGGTATAACTACAAATGATTCATGATTTTGTATCTTCCTAAAGCATTGCTTTTCAGGACCTGTGATTTCATACCTTTCTCTTTGTGTGCATGTAATTACTGATTTTTCCCTTCAAAGGACCCCTTCCACCGTAGATGTGAAGAGTGAACCTGCTTTGGGATTGGACTGCCTATATACTAGTATAATATGGGAAATAAGTAGAGATCTATAAAAATATTCAGGGTAACTAAGAAAAAATTAAATTTTAGCTTGCTAATTTCATAGAATGGTACCCTCTTGTGGCTATTTGGGGTTAAAATTTTATCGGGTTTAGTAAAGGCATAGATAGGAATTTTGTTAAGGGCTGTATAATTTTGTTACGAGGTCTATAATTTTACCAATTGTGGAAATTCAGTTTTGCTGGAGGTAATTCCAGCAGGTCATAAAGGCAAGAAGTTCATCAAAGGTTGATGGAACTTGAGGCTTCAACAGGGCTGAATCATATTACCTGCTGCTGGAATAGCTGAAAGCATTTCCCCAAACCTGAAAATCTGCATATATTATTGCCTGCTGCCAGGCAGCTGAGGGCAGTTCCCCCAATCTGATAATCTTACTATTTACCAAACTTTACCTTTGATATATATATCTGCTTTGCTATAGGGCAAAATCCTATCTAATAATAGACAAACATGGTAATTGATTGTACTTTCGCTATGCCTCCCATTGGCTAATCAGCGTGATATGCAAATTAACTGCCAACAAAGATGGCGGCTAATTTGCATACCGCAGGCAGGGCAGGACAGCGCCATCCCGCCCCAACCCCCGGATTGGCCCTGCCGTGTGTGCGACTCGGGGAGGCAGGGCAGGCACCGAGGGATCGGGCTTGCCATCTGCCACCCGGGGAGCGGGCCTAAGCCAGCAGGTGGTTATCTCCCGAGGGGTCCCAGACTGTGATAGGGCACAAGTGGGGCTGAGGGACACCCCCCCCCTCCCCCGCCAGCGCATAAATTTTTGTGCACCGGGCCTCTAGTGTGTTAATAAAAAGCTAGGAGTCCAGAGACTTGGGGAACTTAGTTACTAAAGCTAAGCCTTGCCTGGCTCCCCCAAAAAATGCCTTTCAAATTTATATTTCAGCCGTAGCCGGTTTGGCTCAGTGGATAGAGAGTCGGCCTGTGGACTGAAGGGTCCCAGGTTCGATTCCGGTCAAGGGCATGTACCTTGGTTGCGGGCACATACCCAGTAGGAGGTGTGCAGGAGGCAGCTGATCGATGTTTCTCTCTCATCGATGTTTCTGACTCTCTATCTCTCTCCCTTTCTCTCTGTAAAATCAATAAAATATATTTAAAAAAAATTTATATTTAATGTCTAGTTTATTAATTTACTCGCAGCCCCTTCTCCAGATTCCTGAACCTTTCTAGATGCTGAGAACGACCCTGGCACAGTTTCTACCTGACTACTTAAAATGCTAAATACTTAATAGGAAAGGAATAACAAATATGAGTAAAGCATTGGGGTCAGGGTAGAGTCCATTTTTAGGGTAATGTGTTGTAGGACTTACTACAATTTAAATGATCATGTCCTCATATTTACTGAGATTATCCTGATTTAGGAGCATGGCTTGTTTCCATTATTCTGGTGCCATTGCATTAAGGAATCATCTCTAACTTTCCTTGCTGATATTGTGCTCATCAGATTACCTGTATATGATTTGGCCTTTAGGGAGAGCTACTACGGAGCAGCCTGCTTGCCTATAGTAACCTTTTCCATCAGCTTTTTATCTAGAAAAGTCCATTAGACTACTTATAATTTGTAGCTCACTAATTCATCTTGATTTAGTTGTTGGTATTGATAAAATGTGGGGCATCAAGATGTTTTTTTTAAACACTTCTCTTTCTCTAGGTGCTTGCTACAATCTGGAGGCAAGATCTTTCCTCAGTATGTGCTGATGTTTGGGTTGCTCGTGGAATCACAGACACTGGTAGAAGAGAATGCTGTTCAAGGAACAGCACGAACTCTTGGATTAAATATAGCACCTTTCATTAACCAGTTCCAGGTAAGTGCCTAGAAGAGAAATTCAACCATGTGGCTGTTATCCACAGTCTACCTTCTCTCTCTCTCATCTTCTATAGTCACTACTGGCCCAGTGCATGAAACTTGTGCACATTAAAAGGGAATTAATTAGAGGAAATATTTTAATAGTGCTATTTGCCCTTTCTCTATAATAGAAGTGTCAGAGATGAGAGAAAATTAGTAAAATGTATATGAAAATCTCCCTCCTGTCAGAGTCTGGGACGCGCCGCGGGACCCAGAGTCAAGTCCTCACCCACCTGCATGCGCCTTGAAATGGTGTGAGACCCAGACCCGGCTGGGCCCACCCCTGTCAAGCCCCGCAGGGCGAGGGGCACGGCCTGGTGCTGGGACGGGGGGGCGCAGCCTCAGGTCCCCTGGCCCAGGCGCGAGGGTGCGACAACCATTTGCATATTAGCTCTTTATTATATAGGATTATGTTTAGCTGGATTAGGATCGTTATCAGTTTCCTAGAGCAAAGGAACTTACTATGGATAAAAATCAACCTAAGGAAGGAAGAATGCCTTCAAGGATGTCCAGGGAGAGGTTGATGTATCTGTGTCTCTAATATTTTATTCAGACAGGATTTCAGACAGGAGGGGAACAGGAGAGAGAGAGATAGAAACATCAAAGATGAGAGTGAATCATTGATCGGCTGCCTTCTGCATGCCCCCTACTGGGGATTGAGCCTACAACCCTGGTATGTGCCCTGACCTGACCGGAAATCGAACCAGGACCTCCTGGTTCATAGGTTGACAATCACAGAGCCACACCGGCCAGGCAGGAAGGCACTTTTTGTTTCCTTTTTATTTCAAATGAGGAGGGTAAAGTGATGGGACACTTTATAGCAGTTAGTTGTCAATTTTGACTCTATAGTCATGTGTCCCATATGTTCAGTCACCTAAGGACCACATATCCAACAGTGGTCCCATAGGATTGTCATGGAGCTCAAAAATTTCTGTTGCCTAGTGCCATCATAGCCATGGTAATGTCATAGAGCAACACATTATTCATGTGTTTGTGGTCATGCTGGTGTAAACAAACCTACTGCACTACCAGCCACATGAAAGCATCGCACAATTACAGTAGTGGGCTGTACCATCTAGGTTTGTGTAAGTGCACTCTGTGCTATTTGCCTAATGATGAATTTCTCAGAACATATCCCCTGGTTAAGCAGTGCATGACTACTTTCAGAGCTACTGGTAATTGAAACCCAACTCCAGATCAATCTGATGTGTGGCCTGAATGGTCAGATTTCAAAGCCTACCTAGGTGATTTTAATTTGTAGCCAAAGTTGAGAATCACTGCCTTAAAGAAATAATTTTATTTTCAAACAGAATCCACTATTAAGTTGTTTGGTTGAATTTGACGTATTTTCTCAAATTCAATAGTTCATGTTATACTATTAGCTTATTCATCTTTCACACGTAAGATCCTTGGTTTAAAAATTTTGAGCTGTTTGGCTTAAGTAAAAATTTAATCTGTTTCCATCAAAGCAAAGTATCCATAGATAATTGAATCCATGGTTTAAACAAATGATTTAACCTGCCTAAACTGTAAAACTGGAATCATGAAATTCCTTATACCTTAAGATGATCTAAGAATTGAGCTAAATGAAAAAAGCATTGTATTGTACTGAGCCAAGTACAAAGTAATCAGTTGGCCATAAAAAGAATTGAACAAAAGTGAACCATTTGTACTTTGTTTAGGTACCTATTCGTGCATTTTTGGACCTGTCCTCACTGCCTTGTATACCTTTAAGCAAGCCAGTGGAACTCCTAAGACTGGATTTAATGACTCCATATTTGAACACCTCTAACAGAGAAGTAAAGGTAACTTAAAATAATTACTCTTGTCATACACAGAATAATTATCTTAAACTAGGTAACACTTTATGTACATAAAACTGTTTTAGCCACTTTCTTTGAAAATTTAAATATTTATTTCTTTTCTGAACAATATCCAAAAATGGGCTTGGGTAAATATTAGAGTAAAATAGGTCACTAATTAAATATATTTATGAAATTTGGATCTAAAATTTGACTAACAAGGCAAAGACTTATTCAAGTCTATTTGTTCTGATGAAATTCTCACGATTTCTTAATTTTCCTAGGTACACATTTGTAAATCTGGACAAGTGACCGCCATTCCATTTTGGTATCATATGCACCTTGATGATGAGATTAGGTTAGATACGTCCAGTGCAGTGTCCCACTGGAAACAAGCTGCAGTTGTTTTAGATAATCCCATCCAGGTGGAAATGGGGGAGGAACTCGTGCTCCATGTCCAGCACCACAAAAGCAACGTCAGCATCACAGTGAAGCACTGAAGAGCAGTTTTCTGGTGAAAACCTGTTTACATAGAGCAAATACACAACTTTTCTGGTCTGAATAGTGTGACTGTAATCATAAAGTGGGGGATGTAGAGACTTAATTGCTTGTATTGATCAAATTTTTTAAAAAATTGACCTTAATACATTTAATAAAATGTATTTAAAAGATACATTATGTAGTAGTATTATTACAAAAATATTTGCTACAGACTTCCTTTCTGAAAAAGACTGTCATTAGTTTTTACATTAGGAAACTTGGTCTTTATTGCTTAGTTTTACTCACTATAGATTAAATTTTACTAAACACTTTTACTTATGTGCTAAAGCTATAAAGGATTTTGAATCATCTTCATTGTCATGTTTTATTTTATTTTTTTTTATTGATTTCATAGAGGAAAGGAGAGGGAGAGAGATAGAAACAATCATGATGAGAATCATTGATTGGCTGCCTCCTGCACGCCCCCTACTGGTGATTGAGCCTGCAACCTGGGAATGTGCCCTTGGCCAGAATCGAACCTGGAACCCTTCAGTCTGCAGGCCGACACTCTATCCACTGAGCCAAACCAGCCAAGGCTTCATTTTCATGTTTTAGAAAGTAAAGCAAAACTTTTAATATTTAGGTATCTTGGCTTTTTTCCTTAAGTCTTAACTTATAATTGGAAACATCAAAAAGTTGGCTTCCACTGAAGACTGAAGGCTATGGTTACTTGTTAATTATAAGCTTGCTTCTTTTAAATACTGGGTGTACTTCTGAAATAACTTCTTAGATTTTGTGATTTGGGAATGCAAAAAGAATTTAAACTCTAAGCTAAATGTAATTAAGAGTAAAAGAGGAAAGAAAGGAAATCTTAAGGAGGCAGCATTTTTCCTGGTCTGCTTTGGCAAAGAAAAAGTGAAAACGATAAATTCAAGAAAGAATTAAACCTAAACCAGTATTTTTTAAAGTTTTGATTTGGATGCATAGTAAGAAATATATAATAATTGAACTAATTTTTAAAGACTTGAAATAGATTAATAAGATGATCATGTTGTGTATATACTATGTGCTATTTGTAACTAAGCCTCAAAGAAAATAAGATGTACCTTCTTTTCACATTGCCTATTCTCATTACCTCTAATAATATACTACCCGGCTTTACTTTCAATAGAAATGTTTAGTTTATAGTAGTGGACACAATAAAGGCTTTGTATGTAATTACTGTGAACCAGTATATATGTGAATATATGTGTGTATAAGTATGTAAAGTCAGGGTTTTAACAAATACTCTTGCTACTTGCAACATACTACTATGGCACTTTCTATATTTCATTTTTGGTATAAAATGTTAAATACGACCCAGAAACTCCATCCTAAGTAATAAGATTCATAGCACCTCCATGTCTTCTGACTGTGGTTTATAGGTTTACATTAGCTGACACCTTCAATAACGCTGAGGAAAAGTAGACTCCTTTTCTACTACAAGTTTCTTACTTATTCTTCCAGTCTTCAATCCAGTTTATTTTTTTCATCTCAAAGTCACAGATAACATTAATCTATTAGCGTTATTGCAAATGATTTTTAGATAGTAGTTGTTTTAAGATTAATAAGATTAGGTCTGAGCTATTTATCCTAATAGGAATATAAGAACTAGGTATCTTTCATTGTAGGCATATAATTTTTATCCCTTAATTTTTCTGGACTTATTTTATGCTATGCCTCTCTAATCAAGACCTTTTTGTTAAAACATTAATGATTTCTGTTTAAAGAATGAGAGACATAAAGTTGCAGAAAATAAATGATAAATTATTATTTATTGAAAGACATCCAGTTGAGAAATATATGGCACATGATTATGATTACGTTCCACTAATTCTGAATTTTACTTTCTGCTAATTCCAGAGCATTATTTTCATGCAGCAGTGGTAGGAAGCATTGATTATTATTATTTTTTTATGCCCATCCTCTTGATAAAGCATGTAACATCAAGAACTTTTAGTATAGTCATTTTCTACCATTTGAGTATGCGATACTCTAATGTGAAGAAATCTTAAGAGTCTTAAGTCTAGGATATTTAGACTGGTTATTTGTGACATACAAAATTTAGTTATATAAAACCAGTAGTACCTGGCTTCCGCCTATCTTTGTGTTGAAATTTTCCCATCATTTATGGCTTGTCCCAAGCACAAAATCCTGAGCAATGTGATACCAGGTATTGAAGTAACAGTAGTGCAGTTTGTGTTCACACACTGTTCAGGAGACCACGGGTTTATCTGAAGGTTTATCTGAAGGTTCTCTTTCTTCTGTAGTATCATTACATATTTCATCAGATATATCAGCTATAGTAGGGGTAGTCTGGGGAGTCAAAGTACGTCCAAACCCTTGATAGTGACCCACGGGGGAAGGTGGCACAGAAGAGGCAACAGAAATTGCATCTTGTGATGATGATGATAACAAGCTTGTATGTTCATTCTGATCTTGATCCTCGGGAAAAAATTTTTTCCTAGGATGTCCCATGACTGTCCTTCCTTTAAGGTAATATAAAGGTTTCCAAATTAGCCAAAAAGTAAGTATTCGTATTTTACCTTTATAAACTTATATGCTAAAAATAAGCTCCCCTCCCCCCTCCTTATTTGAAGAGCCTTATTGTGGTACTGCTTTAAACAAAGTCTTTTAATCTCTTAGACGGTAAATAGCTACTAAATTGCCCTTACAAAAATTACCTATTTGGATAAATTCAATGACTGGTACTTACCAACATGCCTTACTTGTTCAGAAATATCATCCCTAATGTCTGAAACATCCCACATAGCAAGAAAGGAGTCAAAGCATGAGCCCTCTTCTGCTTCTTGGACATATGGTTTATATGAGAAAGTGTAGTGATGAGCAATAGCAGCCAGGAACATCTCAATACAAATAATAAAGTCCTACAACAAAAAAATCAGTCATTTTTAAGTCTAGTTTTGTAGGTAAAGGGAAAACACTATATCTGCCTTTTAAAAAAACACTTATTCCTTTTCAAAAGTACTTAAGTATCAATAGCTGGGGTTTTCCTAAGTATAATCATTTTCCACTTTCCAAAGTAATTATTTTTCACCTCAAAAAAACCCCACAAAAAACGCCACACAAAACCGCCAAAAATTTAAATCTATTTTGCATTAACTTAGTCAAGTATTTCTTAGCAAAGTACATAGAATGCTCAACCCATTGCTCAAGAACTAAGAGAAGAAGTGCAGAAAGATAAACTGACTAGGAATAACAAAATCTAGGTTGTATTTCTGGCTCTACTACAAATTAGTAATTAATGACCAATTTCTCTAGGTTCCTCCATTTCACCTGTAAAGTGAGGATAACAGTAGTCCCATAGCCTGCACATTGTCAGGTTTAAGATAAAATGTTTTATATAAACATGCTTAACAAATAGTCAAGTTATACTGAATTTAGAGAGAGCACTACTTACCTGGAGGCCTGTAGCCACAGCTTCTACAGTTCGCCATTCCCATGTGTGCTTTTCAGAAATAACGCCAACTTTTACCAACAAAGCAATAACTACAGCTTGCCTATATGTTAGGAAAAGGTAAATGCCAAATCTATATCAAGCATAAAATGAGCAATTGTTTTAAAAATATGCCATTTTAAAAAGTTAAACCCCAGCACAACCTGTGGACCATCACTACCACCACCACACCCTGCCTTCACAGCATATTCTTGAAGACACTGTGTGTCTATATTAAATATACTTACTTGCTTTACAAATTTACTCTTCTAGTAGAGTTTCATCACATGAATTTGGATTATGTATTCTTGGAACTTCACTACTTAGTTTATGTCTTTTTGTTTTGAAAGTGTGTGAACTTAAGTTAGATTTAAGTTCTTCCTATACACAGATAATGAATGCCTAACACACTGTACAATAGGCACTTAAAATGAAATAAAAGGTAGCCCTGGCTGGTGTGCTCAGTGGTTCGAGTATCAGCCTGCGCATCAAAAATGGTCACAGGCTCATTCCCCAGCTTCGGTCATCCGGGTGCCTGTGGGAGGCAAGCAGTTGATGTGTCTCTCTCACATTGATATTTCTCTCTCCCTCCCTTCCACTCTCTCTAAAAAGCAATGGAAAAAATATCCTCGTGAGGATTAACAAAAAATAAAAATACAATGAAATAAAGGGTAGATACTTAAATGTTATTTATACATGTGTTCATTATTCAAATTATTTTAAAACACATTTGAAACCAGTCTTGTTTGAAGTACTGGAATTAGAGACACACTTAGAAGGGGTCTAATTCTAACACAGGGAGTCATACTGAGCATTTCAAACAAATCTCCGATGTGACCCTAGGCTAAATTTCATCAGCTAATAATGAGACAGACACACTTTCATAGTTCTACAGGTAAGAATATTCACTCAATGTTGCTTGTAATGGTGAAAAAATTAGGAACAACCTAAATGCCAATAGGAGATTGGTTAAAAAGTTACATCCACACAACAGAATACTGAGCAAAACCAAAAACCTAAACAAAATTATATTTTACTTTACTGGCAAAGAATTATATCCACAATATACTGAACATAACAAATTCTTTAAGTTTTTGTAGAATGGAACTTTCTATGGAGTTTTAATAACACAATGTTAATCATTCTGGGTGGTGGGATTAAGAATTTTTTCTTTTTCCACTTTTATTTGTATGTTGTTAAATTTGATGTGTTTCTGGGCTTCTTATCATCCACCCTATAACTAAATTGGGACCATGTACAATTTTAACTGTTTTTTCTTGTTGTTAATTCTCACCTGAGGATATTTTTTCCATTGATTTTTAGAGAGTGGAAGGGAGGGAGGGAGGGAGGGGGAGAGAGGACGAGGAAGAAGAGAAACAGAGAAATATCGATATGAGAGAGACACGTTGACTGGTTGCCTCCACATGAGCGCTGACCAGGGTTAAGTATCAAACCTGCAACCAGGTAAGTGCCCTTGACTGGAATCAACCTGTGACCCTTTGGTGCTCTGGCTGATGCTCTAAACCAGTGGTTCCCAACCTTTTTTTGGCCATGCCCCACCTAAGCATCTCTAAAATCCTGATGCCCCCCTGTGACATATAATTCTTATTAGAAAAGTGAACTCCTATTCACGTGGAAGAAGCCTAAAAGGCCATTAACTTGGTCTAAACAATCTTCCAAAGAATATGGCATCCATCCAAGAGAAAAATAAAAGAATGAAAGGGCAGTTGAAGTATTGAGGAAGAAATCACTAAGAAATTGTTTAAAAAAATCATAATAATATGAAGTGATATGAAAAAATAGCACAAAGTTTCAAAACATAATAGAGAACTGAAATGCATAACTATGTCACTATATTTATATACTGTATTTGAG